GGTTGGTGCGTACCGTGGGTTCCACTGTACGGCGCCGACGACGCCAGCGTGCCCTCGCCAAATGGCCACTTCCTCGCCGGTCACCGTGTTCCATACGTGCACGTTGCCATCTTCGCCACCTGGGACAGAACAAGAAGAAGGTGAATATAACCGACGTGTCGCTTCCAGCGCGCGACGTGCCACGTCGAGGAAGGCGAACCTGAGAGCACGTATTGTGCGTCGGGAGAGAACGAAGCCTCCAACGCGGAATGATGATCGTTGATACGGCCGGTGTACATTTGTTTCTAAACTCACCACGCAGCCACACGCACTGTCAGGCCACACACGACTAATCGCGTGTGTGACGAGGAGTCGGGCGAGGCGGGCGTACCTTCTTGCCCGTGAATGCGTCGATGAGGAAGATCGGACTGTCGGTGGTGGGTAGAAGGATGTACTTGCCGTCGTTACTGAACTTGATACCGGACCATTGGAGCGCGGTGTGATGGTCCACGAAGAACGTGGCAAACGGACCCTGTGGACGCGAGTGACCAGGGGGGTGAGCCAACTGACCACACACACACGACACACGTAACATAAGGGCACCTTTTCGAATGAGCGCAGATCGTAAAGCTTGACGGCATTGTTGGATGTGGCGACGGCAAAGATGAGACCCTGTGCGTCGTAGGCCACGCTCGCCCGCCCAGTCCGTCGAATCAGCCCCTGGCACGCATTCGTGCGCAGATCCCACAGCCGCACGGTGCTGTCCAACGAGGCAGAGAGGAATGTGTCGTCCACGGGCGACATGGCAAGGGAGGTGACCCTGCGAAACGTTCAACACACAGCCAACCAGAGGCACATAAGGTCGCATCATAAGTATCGATCGAGACCAAGTGCGCACGCTATGCAGTTTGTGGCGACGAGTGGGCCTATGGCTGGATTACCTGTCGCGATGGCCCTTGAAGTATCGCAGATAGTGATTGTCGTGCAGCGAGAGATACCGCAGGGTCTCTGTGCGCGGAGGAGGCAAGGAGTGAACACATGGTGAGCAAAGTCGGCCCGATGGAGAAGCGTGTGGTTGATCGATGGCGCAAGTGGGCGCGCATACCGTCCCACGAGTTCTTGGAGGCGCAGATGACTGTGTTTTCGTTGTGGGTCCAGCGTATGAGGTCGACCCCGTACTTCTTGCTCAGCACGGTCCTTGTCGTTCTGCGACGTCGCGTGAGCGACAACAGCTCGCTGCAGCAGGAGACAAGAGGAAGGAAGGGTCCAACGTACTTGCCCGAGACCGCGTTGTAGACATGGATGGACTCGTCGTCACTGGCCGTTACGAGATGCTCTCCCGTTTTGTAAAAATCCAGTGAATTGATCCTCGCTGTCTGGAGTGGTGGGCACCAAGGATGAGGGGGACTTTCAAATTAATAAAATCTCCCATAATCTTGCATAGATTGAGCGCATTACACGGCAGGGAAGTAAGTACATTGTCTTTGAAGACCTTTCCCATAGCCATAGATTGAACGAGCTCATCGTCAATGCGCGCCATCTGAATCCGCTCGTGCTTGTGTGGGAAACTATTTCTTTTTCTGTTCTTTTTTCCAACAGTTATTTTTTTATCAGAGTTAGTATTTATTTGCCGAAGATGGAGCACGCTACCCTCGATGCAGGACAAACCAAGATGATTTTCGTGTCTGGTGATCGTGCCTCTGTTGGCAAAAGCACTGTTGCTCTTGGCCTACTCGGCTCCCTTCTTCGAACGGTTCGCCTCCTCCCCCCTTCGAAGTGCTGCCGAACGACTAAAGCTTCATGGGTGGTTGCGGTGCAAAGGGCTTGTACAAACCCGAAGAGATTGCATACATCAAGCCAGCCACGCAGTGTATCGACGTCCAGCTGGTGTCCAAGTACTGCAATTTGTATGGTAGGATGCCCCGCCCCACCTTGCCTTGCCTCTTGCTCCATGGTAATGGTGGTGCTGGTCTGTGTGAAGGCATCGCGCACCGCGGCATCGGTCCCGTGGTGTTCTACACCGGCTTCACGCGCGAGTGCATTGATGGGCAGGGGCCATCGCCCAAAGAGCTGCTCGACAAGATCGAGGAGGCGGTGAACACCATCGCCAAGGGCAAGAAGGTGCGTGCCGTTCTCATCTACGCTTGGTGTATTCTGTGCTGAATGGGATTTGTGGCGCCAATGCGCACCTGCCCGGCTCAGTTTGTCATCGTGGACGGCGTTGGTTATCCTTCGGTGGGGAGGTATGCTCAACCCTGCACGCAGTAACGTTGTGCGTCGCTGGCGAAGTGCTGAGTCACCGCCTTTATCACCCAGTGTTGTAGGGGCCTCAAACGCACAGATCGCTCAACGGCTGGCTATCCCCGTGCTTCTGGTTGGCCGAAGTGGTATGCCTCTTCAACCGGGCTTCGGGGCGCAGCTGCAAATGGCTACAGTTCACGCCTTTTACTCACACTTGTTGCCTCGCATCTCCCTTGCTTGTGATTAGGCGTGGGCGATGCCATCGACAGTTTCAACATCAACAAAGCCTATTTCGACCACTTCGGCGTCAAAGTGCTCGGCGCTGTCTTCAACAAGGTCGAAGATCCTTTCGAGGACATCAAGGAACACGGTACCGCACCCACTTCTGTCTCCCCTTGGACCTCTTGGCTTTCTGAATCTCATCATCTGTGGCTTCTCCTTCCCATCATCAGTGACGCGCTATTTCGCGCAGACGTACCCGGAAGCGAGCGCCTACGGGTTCATCCCGCTCGCGGCCCACCTTGCCCCCAAAGACGGGATCAGAAGAGGTACATTGACTACGATGACTTCCTCCAGCGCACGCGCTTCTTCTCTCGTCATGACTCGCTCTCACTCCGCCCTGCGCGTTGCCTCACTGAAGAAAAGGGAGCCTGCCAGCGCGAGACGCCCGTCACCCTGGCCATCAGCGACGAGGAGAAGGCGAGGGCCGAGGCGGTGATCGATGCCTTTGTGGAGCGCGTCGACGTTGCCAAGATCGTCCACGACGTTCACGCCTCGAAGTAGACAAAACAAATAAAAATATTGTCAATAATTATTTTCACCGACTGCGCCCGAACGGCCTCAAGGAGGTGAAACGCCTTGTGCTGGTTCAAACCAACACAACCAGAACATGCGGCATGCCCTGTTGAAGAAGAAGACGGAGACGACCACAATTCCGCTGGACAAGTTGAAAGCAAACCTGGCGCATGTACCAGAAGGCAAGGTGCCAGTAGTGCTCCTGTCCACA